GAAAAGGACAGTTTGGTGTTTCTTGAAGGACATTGTCCCAAAAAGTACAGTTTATTGCTTATCGTAGTTGCCGGCGTGGGGATGTCTGGGTTTGGAAGCATGTTATAGATGGCTGGCGCAGGAGTAGCTAAATAACTACTGGAGATAGCTGGAGTGTCAGCAGCTGGATACCTACTGGAGATGGCTTCAGTGGCAGGGGCGGGATATCTACTGGAGACGGCTGGAACGTCAGCAGCTGGATACCTACTTGAGATGGCTTTAGTGGCAGGAGCTGGATATCTACTGGAGACGGCTGGAACGTCAGCAGCTGGATACCTGCTGGAGATGGCTGAAGCGGTAGGAGCTGGATTCCTACTGGAGATGGTTGGAGCGTAAGGAGCTGTATACCTACTGGAGATAGCTGAAGCGTCAGCAACTGTATACGTACTGGAGATGGGTTGAGCGGCAGGTGCTGGATACCTACTGGAGATGGTTGGATCAACGGCCGATGGCAAGCTGGAGTGCCGACAGGATAGGACAAGATGCTATATCTGAACTAGAACTGACTAATCTAATTTTCCCAACCATGTCAAAATCGTTTATCAAGCCGTTTGGATGACAGCTTAATTTTCCAGATTACAACCACATTCTTTCTAGATATGAAACGTTGTCAGCCTCTAATAAAGCTATCGCTATTTCTTTGATATACAAAACGGACTACTTTGTTTCGCCTGTTCAGACTTTCACATTTAGAAGCCGTCTAGGTAAATGCAGTATTGATCCATCTTCATTCTCTTCATATTCCGTTGGTCAGGAAGGAGTTCCACTCAGAAAGCTGCTTTTTCAACTGGAAAAAGTCTCTTGGGGAAACTGTCTCTACGATCCCTATTAGCCTCTTCAGTTTTCGTGTCGCCAATTATCAATTCTGTATACCTTATAATTCCTTCTTTTTGCAACAACCTCATTCAGTCACGAAGAGGCATGGTGGAGCAATGGATAGCGGCTTGGAATAAATAATCAGAGTTCTAATTCCAGTCGAATCCATTACAATTACTTACGGGCTAATAACTTTCGAAAGGGCATGAATCCTCTTCTTTCCCACCAGCTATGGGTAAATAGCAGGACAGACTGGGTTCTATAGCTTTGGATGGCAACTGGTCTACCGCAGAAAGAATTGGCAACCTACCGCGTGAAAAAAACCTGCCTTGTCAGTCATGTATCGAATGATACATGATCGCCTAAGTGTATATCACATATGACACAGAACTGACTGAAATTCACGTACATGCTAATAATTTTGGTAAAGGTATCAATCCTCTTCTTCTCCCCTACAGCTATGGCCAAATAGCAGGACAGACAGGGTTCTATAGCTTTGGATGGCAACTCGTCCATCTCAGAAAGAATTGGCAACCTATTGCGGGAAAAAATCTGCCTTGTCAGTCATGTATCGAATGATACATGATCGCCACGTATGTCACATAACTAATGATTCATTAAGTCAGCTTCTAAATTGAGTGACTCTTTTCGTTCGTAGTTTGGTATACTTATGCACCTCAGGCTGTTATTTATTTAAATTTCATAGACTTTGTTTTTATTTAAATATTTATTTGTTCATGATTAGTCTTTCTTTTATGCTTTGTTTTTTAGCTCAACCATTGTATTGAAAGAATATATAGCGCTAGTTATTTCGATATCGGATTTATAAAAAGGGAAGCATCCTCGTATATTAATAATAAGAACACGCGTCTGTCTGCATATAGATGTGACCCCAGGCCGTATCGTCCTAAACCGATACCTTCTATTCTCATCTGCGATGTCGGAGAGATCCTATCCCCCAGGTTGATTGTGTGTTTATACGAGAGTAAATCAAAACGTTTTGTCACGCTGTCTTCTTCACATTCATGGTTATAGTCGATCCAATTGTGGTCAATAGATCGAAGACTGAACTTGATCGGGCCTCTTTCCTTGCTGCTGTTACAGTGTAAACATCGTCGCTCCGCCAGCCGTGTGCACCAACACGGAACAAAGAGCAAATTTTATCGGTCCTGTTATGTCATCTCTGCTTAACTCATATTCACTGTAACATTGCTTTCCACTGTATTTTTCGATAAATATTTTCGTAGACATTGTACTGTAGGTTCTATTCTGATAGTTTCTTCTGACTCTTTTCTCGCCTTCCTTCAAACTAAGAAGTCTCAAACTTAAATGTAACTTTAATCCTCATCCCTTGTCATTTTTTTAAATGCTGTTCAATAATTTTCCTTTCTAACCAATAAAGTTTTCTGTTTCCTTCACTCCTGGTTGCCCTTTGCGACTTAGTAGCTGTAGTTCTTGCTTGCGTTGAAATGGTAATTATTAGCCTTAATAGTCACTGTTTACAAACACACATTTCCAGAAAGCTCAACCGAAATAAATTTTTCAGGACCTTATATATATATATATATATATATATATATATATATATATATATATATATATAAAGAAAGAACAGTAACAATAAAAAGTATCGGGCATGTAGACGGGCACCAGGAAAGTAGCCGTGAAAATATTTGTAGAAAAGACAGAGAAAGTGTATGGTAGCCAATTAAGAACCAATTAAATTACAATATTCTTCTTTGGATTTTGGCGAGAACCTCCAGATGAACAGTGGGGGCACCAGATCAGATATGGCAACAGTATTCAATGCAAGGACTAATGGTTGATTTGTGGATGAGTACGATGGACTACGACGAGAAATACCTTCTGGCACGGCAGTGAACCAACTTTCCTTGCAGTAGATGTAGCTATTGATTCAAAGTTGCTGTTCCACTTCAATTCACATAAAACCTTAACGCCATAAACACGCTTTATTTAGTTACTGAATCACAGATGATATAGCATTTCTATATTCGATGGGTGGTAATCGAAAAATAGATATCGATAACAGATGACAATTGATTGACAGATACTCATCAACAAGTGATGTTTTTTTTCCATCGAGAATTTTGAGTTTTTTTTGTTTTTTTTAACCAAGAGTGAGAGTTTTGGGATATTTTTGGTCTTATACCAAGTAAAAACATGACAATAGATCCCTAGCAGAATTCTACATTCAAGTTGTTTAAATCTGTATTATTCGGTTCGGTTCGTCAGCCGTATTCACCTGATATCTCGTCCTCGAATTATTCCCTTTATCAACCCTAACAAAATTATCTTAATGCCAAGAACTGAAGACATTTCGAAGCCTGTAGAAATGACTAGTTCATCCCCTAGAAAGATGCCAAAATTCTGGGAGTGTAGAGTCATGAATTGGCCTAAAAAGACTGCGGAAAGCAATAAAACAAAACAAAATATGAATCTAAATATATATATATATATATATATATATATATATATATATATATATATATATATATATATATATAGTCATCCATAGAAAGACTGTTTCGCTTAAATATAACAGCACATAAGTGTAGATAGACATCCGGTTGCCTCTAGTTACGATCGAAACACGGCTAAATTGGCATCAGTCGGAATTTTTACCCCTAAGCCGTTGGCCACGGCATGAAAGAATGTGAATTTAATCGTATTTATTTTTACATAAAAACACAGTGACTGAGAGAACACAATTCGCTTTAGCTAAGGATCTTTCATTATTAGCCTTAATAGTCACTGTTTACAAACCCACATTTCCATCCCAGAGAACTCAACCGAAATAAATTTGTCAGGAGTATGTACACACACACACACACACACACACACATATATATATATATACATATATATATATATATATATATATATATATATATATATATTATAAATTAATTGATTTAAAATATGTTTTTTTTTCGCTACACAGTTCTAACCATGTTTCAAAAATGGAAGCTAAAAGCCACGAATTTAATTTTGTAATTAAATTAAAGACATTAGTTCCATTTCATCCTCAAGTGAATTTTACTATTGAAATAGTTAAATGTAACTGCCACTTCAAATCAAACAATTTCTTTCCCCGTGTTTCCTGACATTGGAGCTCCATTCGTCCCACTTGCTTCCCTGATAACTACAATCTTCAAAAATTTAAATGCAACGTCAATCGCCATTTTCTCTTGCCTTGATCCCAGTCCTTTTTTTTACATTCCTCTCTTTCTCTGACATTCACTCTACGTAAACCCCTTCGTGCTAGTGGCATTCCTGCCTTACTAGGAGCGAAATGCTAGAAAAATAGATAGATAGATAAACAGATAGACAGATTGATTGATTGACACATAGACAGCTAGCTAGCTAGCTAGCTAGATAGATAGATAGATATAAAGAGTTTATAGATATGAATATGAATAGATAGATAGATAGATGAATAATAGATATGAAAAAATTAGAATAGATTGATCGATGAAGAGTTAAAAATAGATAGATGGATTGGTAGATAAAACCGTCAGATAGATGAATAGATAGATAGATAGATAGATAGATGAGATAGATATGGAAGAGATTGAAAATAGATAGATAGATTGATAGATAAACCATCAGATAGATAGATAGATGGATAGATAGATAGATAGATAGATAGATAGATAGATGTGAAAAATTGAATAGATTGATCGATATGAAGAGATTAAAAATAGATAGATAGATTGGTAGATAAACCGTCAGATAGATAGATAGATAGATAGATAATGAAGAGATTGAAAATAGATAGATGGATTGATAGATAAACCATCAGATGATAGATAGATAGATAGATAGATAGATAGATAGATAAATAAACAGATGAAAAAATTAGAATAGATTGATCGATATGAAGAGATTAAAAATAGATAGATAGATTGGTAGATAAACCGTCAGGATATGGATAGATGGATAGATGGATAGATAGATAGATAGATAGATAGATGGATGAAGAGATTGAAATAGATAGATAGATTGATAGACAAAACCATCAGATAGATAGATGGATGGATAGATAGATGGATATGAAAAAAATTAGAATAGATTGATCGATATGAAGAGATTAAAAATAGATAGATAGATTGGTAGATAAACGGTCAGATAGATGGATAGATAGATAGATAGATAGATGGATGGACAGATAATGAAGAGATTGAAATAGATGGATGGATTGATGGATAAACCGTCAGATGAGATGGATGGATAGATAGATGGACAGATGTGAAAAAATTAGAATAGATTGATCTGATATGAAAAAGAGATAAAAATAGATAGATAGATTGAAACCGTCAAAACCGATCAGATAGATGGATAGATGAATGATGGATAATGAAGAGATTGAAAATAGATAGATGGATTGATGGATAAACCATCAGATAGATAGATAGATAGATAGATAGATAGATAGATAGATAGATAAATAGATATGGAAAAATTAGAATAGATTGATTGATGAAGAGAATTAAAAAATAGATAGATGGATTGGTGGATAAACCGTCAGATAGATAGATAGATAGATGATAGATAGATAGATAGATGAGATAGATAATGAATTGAAAAGATAGATAGATTGATAGATAAACCATCAGATAGATAGATAGATGGATGATAGATGATAGATAGATATGAAAAATTGAATAGATTGATCGATATGAAGAGATTAAAATAGATAGATAGATTGGTAGATAAACCGTCAGATAGATAGATAGATTGATAGATAGATGAAGAGATTGAAAATAGATAGATAATTGATAAGGATAAACCATCAGATAGATAGATGGATGGATGGATGGATAGATAGATGGATGATGTGAAAAATTAGAATGGATTGATCGACATGAAAGTTAAAATAGATGGAGATGGATTGGTAGATAAGCCGTCGGATAGATAGATAGATGGATGGATGGATGGAGAGATTGAAAATGGATAGATGAATTGATCAAACCATCGGATAGATGGATGGATGGATGGATGATGATGGATAGATGGATAGATAGATGTGAAAAAATTAGAATGGATTGATCGATGTGGAAGTTAAAATAATAGATAGATGGATTGGTAGATAAACCGTCGGATGGATAGATAGATAGATAGATGGATAGATAGATAGATAATGAAGAGTTGAAATAGATGGATAGATTGATGGATAAACCATCAGATGATGGATAGATGGATGGATATATAGATAGATAGATATGAAAAAATTAGAATAGATTGATCGATATGAAGAGATTAAAACTAGATAGATAGATTGCTAGATAAACCGTCAGATAGATAGATAGATAGATAGATAGATAATGAAGAGATTGAAAATAGATAGATAGATTGATAGATAAACCATCAGATAGATAGATAGATAGATAGATATATAGATAGATAGATATGAAAAAATTAGAATAGATTGATCGATATGAAGAGATTAAAACTAGATAGATAGATTGCTAGATAAACCGTCAGATAGATAGATAGATAGATAATGAAGAGATTGAAAATAGATAGATAGATTGATAGATAAACCATCAGATAGATAGATAGATAGATAGATATATAGATAGATAGATATGAAAAATTAGAATAGATTGATCGATGTGAAGAGATTAAAACTAGATAGATGGTTGCTAGATAAACCGATCAGATAGATAGATAGACAGATGAGATGATGGAAATGAAGAGATTGAAAATAGATGATAGACAGATTGATAGATATGAAACCATTAGAGATAGATAGATAGATGATGATAAATAGAATAGATGATATGTGAAAATTAGAATAGATTGATCGATATGAAGAGATTAAAACTAGATAGATAGATTGCTAGATAAACCATCAGATAGATAGATAGATAGATAGATATGAAAAAATTAGAATAGATTGATCGATATGAAGAGATTAAAAATAGATAGATAGATTGGTAGATAAACCGTCAGATAGATAGATAGATAGATAGATAGATAGATAATGAAGAGATTGAAAATAGATAGATAGATTGATAGATAAACCATCAGATAGATAGATAGATAGATAGACAGATAGATATGAAAAAATTAGAATAGATTGATCGATATGAAGAGATTAAAAATAGATAGATAGATTGGTAGATAAACCGTCAGATAGATAGATAGATAGATAGATAGGATAGATGGATAGACAGATATGATGAAGAGATTGAAAATAGATAGATGGGATTGATAGATAAACCATCAGATAGATAGATAGATGAATAGATGATATGAAAAATTAGAATAGATTGATCGATATGGAAGAGATTAAAAATAGATAGATAGATTGGTAGATAAGCAAATCAGATAGATAGATAGATAGATAGATGGATAGATAGATAGATAGATAATGAAGAGATTGAAAATAGATAGATGGATTGATAGATAAACCATCAGATAGATAGATAGATAGATAGATAGATAGATAGATGAAAGATGTGAAAGAATAGATTGATCGATATGAGAGAGATTAAAAATAGATAGATAGATTGGTAGATAAACAGATAGATAGATAGACAGGATAGATAGAATAGATAGATGGGATAGATAGATATGATAGATAGATAGACAGGAGATTAAAATAGATAGATAGATGGATGAAGATGAAACCATCAGATAGATAGATAGATAGATAGATGGATAGATGGAGAATAGATGGAGATAGATGGATGATTGAATGGATAGAAGAGCCATCGGATCGATAGAAGAGATGGATAAAAGATAGATAGATAGATGGTAGATAGAACCGTAGATAGATAAGATAGACTAAAATGGATAGATAGATAGATAGATAGATAGATAGATAGATAGATGAAATGGATGGATAGATGGATGGATATGGAGAGAGATTAAAATAGATAGATAGATTGGTGGATAAACTGTCGGATGGATAGATGGATAGATATGGATGGATGGATGGATAGATAGATAATGAAGAGATAAAAATAGATAGATATGATTGATAGATGAAACCGTCGGATGGATAGATAGATAGATAGATATGGATAGATATGATATAGATAGATAGATAGATGGATGAAAAAATTAGAATAGATTGGATGGATGGATGGAAGAGATAAAGGATAGATAGATAGATTGGTAGATAAACCGTCAGATAGATAGATAGATAGATAGATAGACAGATAGATAGATGGTTAATGAAGAGATTGAAAATAGATATAGATGGATTGATAGATAACCATCAGATAGATATGATAGATGATGATAGATAGATAGATAGATAGATGAAAAATGGAATGGATTATCGATGAAGAGATCGATGTAAAAATAGATAGATATGGATTGGTATGAATTGGTAGATAGATGGATAGATAGATGAGATAGATAGATAGATAGATAGATAGATAGATGGATAGATAGATAGTTAATGAGATAGATAGATAATAGATGATATGAATTGATAGATAAACCATCAGATAGATAGATAGATAGATAGATAGATAGATGAAAAATTAGAATAGATTGATCGATATGAAGGGGATGAAAAGATAGATAGATAGATTGGATAGATAAACCGTCAGATAGATAGATAGATAGATAGATAGATAGATAGATAGATGAATAGATGATGAATGGATGGAGATTGAAAATAGATAGATAGTTGATAGATAAACCTATCAGATAGATAGATAGATAGATAGATAGATAGATAGATGAATATGAAAAATTAGAATAGATTGAATCGATATGAAGAGAATTAAAAATAGATAGATGGATTGGTGGATAAACCGTCGGATAGATAGATAGATAGATAGAATAGATCAGATGGATAGATAATGATAGAGATTGAAAGATAGATAGATAGATGGATAGATAATAGATAGATAGAGATAGATAGATAGATAGATAGATAGATAGATAGATAGATAGATAGATAGATGTGAAAAAATGGATGAATGGATTGATCGATATGATGGAGATTAAAATAGATAGATAGATTGCTGAATGGCCGTCAGATAGATAGATGGATAGATGGATAGATAGATAATGGAAGAGATTGAAAATAGATAGATAGATTGATGGATGAAACCATCAGATAGATAGATAGATAGATAGATAGATAGATAGATAGATATGAAAAAATTAGAATAGATTGATCGATATGAAGAGATTAAAAATAGATAGATAGATTGGTAGATAAACCGTCAGATAGATAGATAGATAGATAGATAATGAAGAGATTGAAAATAGATAGATAGATTGATAGATAAACCATCAGATAGATAGATAGATAGATAGATAGATAGATAGATAGATAGATAGGAAAAATTAGAATAGATTGATCGATATGAAGAGATTAAAATAGACAGATAGATTGGTAGATAAACCAGATAGATAGATAGATAGATTAGATGGATAGATAGATGGATAGATAAATATAATGAAGAGATTGAAAATAGATAGATGGATTGATAGATAAGCCATGGATGGATGGATAGATAGATAGATAGATAGATGAGATCATACATGAAAGTTAAAATTAGATAGATAGATTGATCGATAGATGAAGAGATTAAAAAATAGATAGATGGATTGGAAGATAAATGGATAGATGGATGGATAGATGGATGGATGGATAGATGGGAATAGATGGATGGATAGATAAAATAGATAGATGTCAGAGTTAAAGATGATAGATAGATGGATGGATGGAAGATAATGGATAGATAGAAATGATGGATAGATGGATCGGATAGATAGATAGGTAGATGGATAGGTATAAACAGATGGATGGATGGATAGATGGATGGATGGATGGATGGATGGATGGAATGGATTGAGATATGGATCGATAGATCGATGATGAAGTTGAAAATAGATAGATAGATTGGTAGATAAACCGTCAGATGGATAGATAGACAGATAGATAGATGGATGGATAGATGATAATGAAGAGATTGAAAAAAGATAGATAGATTGATGCTAGATAAACCATCAGATAGATAGATAGATAGATATACAGATGAAAAATTGAATAGATTGATCGAATAAATGGAGATTAAAATGGATAGATAGATTGGTAGATAAACCGTCAGATAGATAGATGGATAGATGGACGTCAGATAGATAGATGGATAGATAGAATAATGAAGAGATTGAAAATAGATAGATAGATTGATAGATAAACCATCAGATAGATAGATAGATGGATGATAGATAGATAGAAAAAATTAGAATAGATAGATGGATCGATATGAAGAGATTAAAAATAGATAGATAGATTGGTAGATAAACCGTCAGATAGATAGATAGATGGATAGATGAAGAGATTGAGAAAAAGATAGATAGATAGATTGATAGATAAACCATCAGATAGATAGAAAGATAGATAGATAGATAGATAGATGATAGATAGATAGATCAGATAGATAGATATAGAAGATTAGATAGATAGATTGATCGATTATGAAGAGATTAAAGATAGATAGATAGATTTTGGATAGATAGATTGGTAGATAAACCGTCAGATAGATAGATAGATGAATAGATAGATAGATAGAATGGAGAGATTGAAAATAGATAGATAGATTGATAGATAAACCATCAGATAGATAGATAGATAGATAGATAGATAGATAGATAGATAGATAGATAGATATCAGATGCCAGATAGATGAAAAAATTAGAGGATAGATAGATTAGATAGATTGATAGATAGAGAGATTAAAATAGATAGATAGATTGGTAGACAGATAAACCATCAGATAGATAGATAGACAGATAGATAGATAGATAGATAGATGATGAAGAGATGAAAATAGATAGATAGATTGATAGATAAACCATCAGATAGATAGATAGATTAAGATAGATAGATCGAGAAGATAGATAGACAGATGAAAAAATAGAATAGATAGATAGATAGAAGAGATTGAAAACTAGATAGATAGGGGAGATAGATAAAGATCAGATAGATAGATAGATAGATAGATATGAAAAGATGATAGAAATAGATATGAAGAGATTAAAATAGATAGATAGATCAGATAGATCAGATAGATAGATAGATAGATAGATAGATAGATAGATAGAAAATTAGAATAGATGATCGATATGGAAGAGATTAAAATAGATAGATAGATTGGGATGTACAGTAAAGATAGATGGAGATAGATAGATAGATAGATATGAAGAGATTGAAAATAGATAGATAGATTGATAGATAAACCATCAGATAGATAGATAGATGGATAGATATATAGATAGATAGATATGAAAAATTATGAATAGATTGATAGATATGAAGAGATTAAGATAGATAGATAGATTGATAGATAAATATGTCAGATAGATAGATAGATAGATAGATAGATAATGAAGAGATTGAAAATAGATAGATAGATTGAGCAGATAAACCATCAGATAGATAGATAGATAGATAGATAGATAGATAGATAGATGAGATATGAAAAATTAAGAATAGATAGATTGATCGACCATCGGAAGAGATTAATGGATAGATAGAAAGATGAATAGATAAAATAGATGAATAGATGGATCAGATAGATAGACAGATAGATGGATATAGATAGATAATGATGAATAGATGGATGGATTGAAATAGATAGATAGATTGATAGATATGACCAGGATGAAATAGATAGACAGATAGACAGATAGATATGAAAAATTAGAATAGATTGACGATATGAAGAGATTAAAAATAGATAGATAGATTGGTAGATAAACCACGAGATAGATAGATAGATAGATAGATAGATAGATAGATAGATAGATAATGAAGAGCTGGGAAAACAGATAGATAGATAAGATAGATGATAGATAGATCAGATAGATAGATAGATAGATAGATAGATAGATATGAAGGAAAAATTAGAAATAGATTGATCGATATGAAGAGATTAAAAATAGATAGATAGATTGGTAGATAAACCGTCAGATAGATAGATAGATAGATAGATAGATAGATAGATAGATAGATAATGAAGAGATTGAAAATAGATAGATAGATTGATAGATAAAGATAGATAGATAGATAGATAGATAGATAGATAGAAAAAATTAGAATAGATTGATATGAAATGAAGAGATTAAAAGATAGATAGATAGATTGGTAGATAAACTGAGTCAGATAGATAGATAGATAGATAGATAGATAGATAGATGAGATAGATGGATAAAATGAATAGATGGATAATAATAGATAAATAGATTGATAGATGAAAATTAGAACAGATAGATGAGATAGATAGATAGATAGATATGAACAGGATGAATGGATAGATAGATAGATAGATAGAAGAGATTAAAAATAGACAGAGATTGATGGATGAAACCATCAGATAGATAGATAGAGATGGATGGATAGATGGATGATAGACAGATAGAAAAAATTAGAATAGATTGATCGATATGAAGAGATTAAAATAGATAGACAGATACCTAAAACCGATAGATAGATAGATAGATAGATATATAGATAGATGGATAGATGGATAGAATGATAAGAGATTGAAAAGATAGATGATTGAGAGATAAACCATTAAAGATAGATGATAGATAGATGGATAGATGGATAGATAGATAGATGAAAAAATTAGAATGGATTGATATGTGAAGAGATGCAAAAATGGATAGATGGAGATAGATTGATGAATGGATGAAGAGCCGATGACGGAGATGGATAGATAGATGAAGAGAAGATAAATGGATTGATAGATATGAGATCAGATAGATAGATAGATGAATAGATAGAAAAAGATAGGAATAGATTGATCGATAGATGAAGAGATTAAAATAGATAGATAGATTGGTACTCAAACTCTCCGACAGATAGATAGATAGATGAATAGATTGAAAATAGATAGATAGATTGATAGATGGATAGATAGATAGATAGATGGATAGATAGATAGATAGATAGATAGATTAGATAGATGAATGAAGAGATGTGAAAAAATAGATAGATAGATTGGTAGATGGATGGATGGATAGATGGATAGATGGATAGATAGATAGATATTAGATAATGTTAGATAATAGATAGATCGATTGATAGACAAAGCCATCGGATGGAATAATAGATAGATAGATGGATGGTGAAAAATTGGAATAGATTGATGTATGTGAAGATTAAAACAAATAGATAGATGGATGGATTGATGGATGGATGGATAGATAGAAGATAACGAAGAGATTGAAATAGATAGATGGATTGATAGATAAACCATCAGATAGATAGATAGATAGATGGATGGACAGATAGATAGATAGAGATAGATGAAAAAAATAGAATAGATTGACTGATGAAGAAGAGATTAAAAATAGATAGATAGATTGGTAGATAAACCGTCAGATAGATAGATAGATAGATAGATAATGAAGAGATTGAAAATAGATAGATAGATTGATAGATAAACCATCAGATAGATAGATAGATAGATAGATAGATAGATAGATAGATAGATAGATAAATAGATAGAAAGATTAGAAAAATTAGAAATACAGATCGATGGAAGAGATTAAAATAGATAGATAGATTGGTAGATAAACCGTCAGATAGATAGATAGATAGATGGATAGATGGAAGAGATTGAGAAATAGATAGATAGATTGATAGATAAACCATCGGATAGATAGATAGATAGATAGATAGATAGATGATAGATAGACATGAAGAAAAATTAGAATAGATTGATCGATGTGAAGAGATTAAAAAAAGATAGATAGATAGATAAACCGTCAGATAGGATAGATAGATAGATAGATAGATAATGAAGAGATTGAAAATAGATAGATAGATTGATAGATAAACCATCAGATAGATAGATAGATAGATAGATAGATAGATAGATAGATATGAAAAAATTAGAATAGATTGATCGATATGAAGAGATTAAAAACTAGATAGATAGATTGATAGATAAACCGTCAGATAGATAGATAGATAGATAGATAGATAAGGAGATTGAAAATAGATAGATAGATTGATGGATAAACCATCGGTAGATAGATAGATGGATAGATAATGAAAATAGATAGATGGATATGAAAATAGATAGATAGAATGAAAACCGTAGATAGATAGGGATAATGAAGAGATTAAAAATAGATAGATAGATTGATAGATAATAATCAGATAGATACAGATAGAAGATGATAATAGATAGATAGATGAAAAATTAGGAAGATTAAAATAGATAGATAGACAGATGTCAGATAGTAGAAAGATAGATAGATAGATAGATAGATAGATAGATGGATAGATAGATTGATAGATAGATAGATAGATAGATAGAAGATTGAAAATAGATAGATAGATATGAAAAATAGATAGAACCATCAGATAAAATAGATAGATAGATATATATAAACCATATATAGATAGATAGATAGATAGATGAAAAATTAGAATAGATTGATCGATATGAAGAGATTAAAATAGATAGATAGATTGCTAGATAAACGTCAGATAGATAGATAGATAGATAGATAGATAGATAATGAAGAGATTGAAAATAGATAGATAGATTGATAGATAAACCATCAGATAGATAGATAGATAGATAGATAGATAGATATGAAAAAATTAGAATAGATTGATCGATATGAAGAGATTAAAAATAGATAGATAGATTGGTAGATAAACCGTCAGATAGATAGATAGATAGATAGATAGATAGATAGATAGATAATGAAGAGATTGAAAATAGATAGATAGATTGATAGATAAACCATCAGATAGATAGATAGATAGATGATAAGAAAAATAGATAGATTGATAGATAGAAGAGATTAAAATAGATAGATAGATTGGTAGATAAATGTCAGATAGATAGATAGATAGATAGATAGATAGATAGATAGATAGATAGAGAGATTGAAAATAGATAGATAGATTGATAGATAAACCATCAGATAGATAGATAGATAATAGATGATATGAAAAAATTGGAGAATAGATTGATCGATATGAAGAGATTAAAATAGATAGATAGATTTAGATAAACCGATCAGATAGATAGATAGATAGATAGATAGATAGATAGATAGATAGATAATGAAGAGATTGAAAATAGATAGATAGATTGATAGATAAACCATCAGATAGATAGATAGATAGATAGATAGATAGATAGATAGATAGATATGAAAAAATTAGAATAGATTGATCGATATGAAGAGATTAAAACTAGATAGATAGATTGGTAGATAAACCGTCAGATGGATGGATAGATAGATGATAGATAGATAGATAGATAGAAAAATAGATAGATTGATGGATATGAAGAGATTAAAAATAGATAGATAGATTGGTAGATAAACCGTCAGATAGATAGATAGAGACAGATAGATAGATAGATGGATGAAGAGATTAAAATAGATAGATAGATTGGTAGATAAACCATCAGATAGATAGATAGATAGATAGATAGATAGATAGATATGAAAGAATTAGAATAGATTGAAGAGATTGAAAATTAAGATAGATAGATTGATAGATAAACCATCAGATAGATAGATAGATAGAGATAGATAGATAGATAGATAGATATGAAGAGATTGAAAATAGATAGATAGATTGATAGATAAACCATCAGATAGATAGATAGATAGATAGAAGATAGATAGAGATAGAATAGATTGGATATGAAGAGATTAAAATAAACCGTCAGATAGATTGACAAACAGATAGATAGATAGATAGATAGATAGATAGATAGATAGATAGATAGATAGATAGATAGTTAATGAAGAGATTGAAAATAGATAGATAGATTGATAGATAAACCATCAGATAGATAGATAGATAGATAGATAGATAGATAGATAGATAGATAGATATGAAAAAATTAGAATAGATTGATCGATATGAAGAGATTAAAAATAGATAGATAGATTGGTAGATAAACCGTCAGATAGATAGATAGATAGATAGATAGATAGATAGATAGATAGATAGATAGATAATGAAGAGATTGAAAATAGATAGATAGATTGATAGATAAACCATCAGATAGATAGATAGATAGATAGATAGATAGATAGATAGATAGATAGATAGATAGATATGAAAAAATTAGAATAGATTGATCGATATGAAGAGATTAAAAATAGATAGATAGATTGGTAGATAAACCGTCAGATAGATAGATAGATAGATAGATAGATAGATAGATAGATAGATAATGAAGAGATTGAAAATAGATAGATAGATTGATAGATAAACCATCAGATAGATAGATAGATAGAGATAGATAGATAGATAGATATGAAAAAATTAGAATAGATTGAATGATATGAAAGATTAAAACTAGATAGATAGATTGATAAATCGATAGATGATAGATAGATAGATAAAAATTGAAAATAGATAGATTTGATAGATAAACCATCAGATAGATAGATAGATAGATAGATGATAGATAGATGGAAAAATAGAATAGATTGATCGATATGAAGAGATTAAAATAGAGATAGATTGATAGATAAACCATCAGATAGATAGATAGATAGATAGATAGATAGATAGATAATGAAGAGATTGAAAAGATAGATGGATTGATAGATAAACCATAGATAGATAGATAGATAGATAGATAGATAGATAATGAAGAGATTAGAATAGATAGATAGATGGATAGATAGATAGATAGATAGATAGATAGATAAATAGATGAAAAAATTAGAATAGAGAGAAGATAGATATGGAAAGATTGAAAGATAAACAGATTGATGAGAGAAAATAGATGTGAAAGATTAGAGATTGATAGATATAAAGAGATTAAGGTATACATATATATATAGAGAGAGAGATAGATAGATAGATAGATAGATAGATAGATAGATAGATCCATCCAAACAGAATTATTCTCTACATTAATTTTAAGTTTACTCTAACTTTCTCAATTATTCCAAATTCCCAATTTAAAATCATGAAATATATCTTCTTCTGAACGTTGAAATTCGTTTCAAAGTTTTCTAAAATATCTGTCTGAGAAGTTAGACATATGCAATTATATAAAAATTTATATATGTTAAATTATTCTTATTGTATCGGCACAATAACATGCAACCAATAATTGATAAATTTATTCTTCTGTACATGTTTACCGGAATTTTCTTCTCGCTGATATATAATAAAAATGTAGATATACAATTTCTGTAATGTAATTATATTCACTTGTAAGCACAAATTTGTAGACATGTATTCATAAATAAAATTTCACTGTCGCGCAAGATACGTACATCACGTGTATATCGATTCTGCAAAAGTTAGCATGGCTGAACCTTACTCTAAAGAAATTGGTTTTCTATAAGTGATCTAGTATTTTTGTATTATACATTTGGGTTTTTTTTAGCTAAAATTGGTAAATATTTATGTACTGACTCGATGAATCAGGACTGGTTATCATAAGTTGCACCTTATTTTCATAATATTTTAATTATGATATTATACACAGCCGCAGCACCTCCCTCATTGCACAAAAGAGATAGCTTCGCCTGAATATCGACGCTAGCGCGACGTTGGTTGCGGGGACCTGGCAATTCTATGCGCTCAAACTTGCTCTCTCCACTTTAAACTGGCATTGTGCCATATCCTCTCAATGTGTTGAGAAGTTTGAATAAATAAAAATTGTGGTATCTGTATTCGAACCGAGCACAACAATTAAATGACAGATGCCTGGTCCCACGCTTGGACTCTCCACTTCAAACTAGTATTGTGCCATATGCTGTCAACGTGGTGAAAGGGATGAATAAATAACACTTGAAGATACGACAATTTTTATTTATTCATCCCTCTCACCACGGACCGGGTAAAACAATTAAATGACAGATGCCTAGTCCCACACTTGGTCTCTCTACTTCAAACCAGCTTTGTGCAATATCCTCTCAGCGTGGTGAAAGGGGTGAATATATAAAAACTGTCGTATCTGTCTTTGGACCGTACACAACAATTAAATGACAGATACCTGGTCCCACGCTTGCTCTCTCCAATTTAAACCGGCATTGTGCCATATCCTCTCAACGTAGTGATAGGGTTGAATAAATATAAATTGTCGTATCTGTATTCGGACTGAACACAACAAATAATGACAGATGCCGGGTCCCACGCTTGGACTCTCCACTTCAAACCAGCATTGTGCCATATCCTCTCAACGTGGTGATAGGGATGAATAAATAACTATGAAAGATACGACAATTCTTAATTATTCATCCCTCTCACCACGGACCGTGCACAACTGTTAAATGGCAGATGCCTGGTCCCGTTCATTACAACTTTTCAGCGGCACCTCTCGTACTGAGCGAAAAAGGGAGGTTATCTCCCGTATTTTTGCCAGCGCGACGTTGGTTATGGTCACCAGGCAATATTTTGACCTTAGCCCACGCGCTTCCGATTTGGTCCCACATTTCAACCCAACCCGGCACTATGATGGCACGAGTATATAGCTAGTGAAGTATCTCCTCTTCTCATCTATGTTGGTCTTATTAATGTCAGCCGTTTCCTTATGAGGAAATATTTGGCATTCATTGATCTATCGATCAGTATTTCTCTCGTATAAAATCTTTCTCTTAAAATAATTTAAAAAAATAGATTTCTTAATTCCATTAACATTACCGAGCTTTCCAGTATTGATGGGTGTTTTCCTTCATAACCGTTTGTTTTAACTGTTGCGAAACGACAGCATATTGTTTATGTTATTATTTCGACCTGTGTCACATCTGTTATCTATGTCAATTGTTTCTGATGTTGAAAATCCTTAAGTCATGTGGTTTTTCTTTGGTAAAGTTCCTTGTTGGGGATTGTATAGCGCCAGTGGGCGAAGTTTCTTGAAGGATGATCTTCGCTAAGTCCTAGAGTCTTCATTTACTTAAATTCCCTTTTAGTCATTAATCTCAGAAAGCATTTAATTGCCTCATTTGCTGATAATTTACGTATTTCTAAACGACTTTAGGGGACCAAGAATAACGGTCCATACGAAACAGATCCATACACATAACTATTTGAAGTGCTCTGATAATGATTAATTCCACATTTTATATTTTTATGATAGATTCAGTGGAGGTAACATCACTGTATTCATCCCAATTCCGAGAGTTAAGGACATACGAGGATAAAACAGCGATTCTGGTACGATCACAGAATTTAAGCAACATCCGTTCAAGCCACTAGATCTTTTACAGTTTAGGAAGATTAGATACTGTATTCTTGAACATGCGGGTAATGTAAAGGATTAATGGCTGTGTTTTGAATATCGAAGAACCGAGTTTCAGTTCTTGTGCGGTTCCTTATATTCCCTTCCGAGCAAATAACCTTGGGAAAGGTTTGAATCCAAGTCTTCTCCCCACCAGCTATAGGTTAATTAGTAGAAATTGTATCAGTAAATATTTATTGTTTCCAATAAATTCTAGCAGTCTAAAATATTTTCTGTCTTTAAATAACAAGCAAAACGTTGATAGGACGTAGAAAACACATTGATCAATTCATTCTAATTCCAGATTATATTTTCTGTTTTGGAAATATTTAACTTGGCCATTATTTCTTGGGACATTTGTGGATGCTGATATGTTGTTCAAAACCATTCTTATCACAAGTATGAAAAGCTAAAACTAATTATGGTTGACATATATTTATATATTATAGTGATAGATGTCAGTCTTAAGGAAAATGAAAAGAAAGAATAATCTTTGGATATTTTGTCAATAATAGAACATAGGCAATGGAATGATGATAACAATAAGTAAAAGACGTAATAACTTTGTGCGTATAGGTGGCAAAACAGGGAGTAGGAAGAATAATAAAAGACAAAACATAGAATTTTGTTGATTCAGTGTCGCCACTAGCATCAGAGCCTTTCAGACACTAATGGCACTTCATAGACTGTATAAATGCAAGACTTTTGTTTCCTAAAAATCATTGATTCTAGTGGGTAGCTGCAGGAAAATCTCATGAAGACGCATACCTACACGATATCTTAGCATGCCACCACGTGCGACATATCCACTCTAAGGAATCTGTGTGCAGAAAAAGTTTCGAAAATACTAAATTATTGAGGCATTCTACTAACTTCATGACGTTTCTTATATCCAAAACTTATGCCATCAATTCACTGCCAGAATTATACGACCAATTAATCAACATCTTTGTCCAGCCTCCAATACGTTTAACAACATTCTGGTCATCAAAGTGCAGCTATGAGCTGAACAGCAAACATAAAATATGATAAAACAAGCCAATTAAAGCGTAATATATATAAAACATACACTTAGACAAAGCTATATTTTTACAAAAGCTTAAAAATTTTCCAACATCGTCGCGTACCAGATTTTGTAGAGATTATTATATAGTAGTGATTAACATATTTGTTATAAAAGTGATGCCGTTTTAGCAAATGTAAATACAATTGCAAAATATCAGTGAAGTAAAATATTCAGACATCAGTGTTTATAGCAAAGGTTAGGTTAACGAACTCTAACAGACAGATGCAGAATGTGAAAACTTCTGGGCGAACGAACCAAAAAGAAAATGCTGAAAGGGTTATTGTTTAAATCACATTGCCTAACAGTTAAACGTGATGTCTGCTTTTTATCACGATTAGAGTAAAATTACGAACATCACCAATTCCCAGATAAACAACAGTTTCAAGAATTTCATTTATATCGGAATACAGGTGTGTGCTTGTCAAGATGACTACATATATGAAATAGATATCGACCATTGAATTAACACTTATTCCACGCATTCTTTCTGTATTGATACATATATATATATATATATATATATATATATATATATATATATATATATATGTGTGTGTGTGTGTGTGTGTGTGTGTGTGTGTGTGTGTGTGTGTGTATACATACAGGGTGTTCAATAACTTGGATCGATTTTAAATGTGAATTAAGCTTAAGAGTCTGTTGTGGTAGGATCTACCTAATTTGCATAGTGGAGTACCGACCATATAAATATGGTTGGTACCGGGAAGACGGGGAGAGTAATCAAGAGATTCAACCAGAGACTCTGCCCGACTGCGACTCAGTCAACACATTCTCCAGGGACGGTCTTACCAGGAATATACAAAAGACTATATGTAAATATTGTGTACACTTTCTTGTTTCAATACATTTTGTTCTAAGTACATTTTGTGTGCATTATTATTCCATGCATTAGTCAAGTTTCAACAGAGTCATATGATATTTTTCGTTTTTCCTTCAGATTTGGCGGACATTTGAGCGATATTTTCTTTCACACATAATTGCCATGACTTAACATGATCCAATACAGAAATAAATATTTTTTCACCAACAACACTGATTTAATTGCTGCTGACTTTGATCCGACTTAATGAAACATATAATAATCGACTCTCCCGTCGAGATTCGACGTATGAGGGTCAAGCAAGTCAGTTTCCAGGAAACCGACAGCCCGACACCGGCACATGAGATTTGATTATAGTGGTGAAGGCCTCGTGCAGGACCATCCACACTTTTTGAAGGGACGGATACAGAGACTTGGTGCACCGAATTCCACAAGGTTCCATAACGACCCTCCGCAGGTTTTGAATTCAGAGTTGTCCTTCTCCTAAACCAGTTGCCATCCAAGGCTATAGAACCCAGTCTGTCCTGCAATTTTACCCATAGCTGGAGGGAGAGGAAGATGATTCTTACATTTCTCAAGGGTATTACAACGTAAGTGAAATGTAATGGATTCGACTGGAATTCGAACTCGAAAAAAAAAAAAAAATATATAAACAGGTACTTTTTACTGCCAGGATCATATTTCCCATTTTATTGTTAAAATAGTACAAAATTATATCTTTTAAAAAAACAAGTAAGATATTTAAGGCACCTTTCG